GATGCTCCATCAATGGTGCCTGCCTTTCCCTTCGTTCCTGTGGTGAAGAAAAGGCTCCCCGCATCACCTTGAGCACTGTTTCTAAGTGATGACATTCCATGTATTCTAGGATCCCCAAGGGGTTGCACTGTCACAAATAAATGGGTAATAATTGGCCTTTCCACATTTGATAAGCACCTCTAACAGCAGGGGACTGTTAGGCCTCTCTAGCCATTAACTTCACCTATTTTATTTCAAAGCTTTAAACTTAAATTTGCTATTTCATAGAACTGCTTTAATCCCCATACCTGAAATCTGTTTGAGTTTCTCTGTGTGAAAAGGAGAAGTGGTTTCCTATTGGTTTTCCTGAAAGCTGTGGTCTGGAAAGTGCCAACAAATTGGGTGTGGACTGGATGAAGTCACGGACAAACACCAGGGAGGAGGCCCTAGGGCTGTAGAGCACCAGGCCCCAACTCTGCACCCAGAGTGGCCTGAGACTCCCCAATGGAGGCCTGTCTGGTTACACTGAGTGCAGTGCCGCCGTATGATGAGTAGCCACTTCTGCATTCCTGTGATCCCTCAGAGGCTCCCTGAGATCTCCTTATCTGATTTAGAGCCCCCAAAACTCACTATGACTAGCAGCTCTCTCTTGGATAGAGCAGGACAAATCTCAATTTCTGAGGTTTTTCCATAAAGATCCTTGAAATTAGCTATAGAACCTATTCACATTAATATGATCTTGAAGGCTCACTGGAAACTCCACATATTCTTGCAGAAATGCATGTCAGGTGAGAAAACCTCTCTGGATCAGGATGTCTCCAGGATAAGTGCCAGGGATGAACCTCTCTAGATAGGGTGATAAGGGGACAGGTAAGAGGCAGGTTGCCTGGTACACAGGAACTCCAGCAACAAGGACCCCTGCTCTTCATCAGTGTAATGGCTTTCTGAAAACTGCAATTTTGGGGAAATAGTATCAATTTGTTATAGACCAAATGAAGCTACAGGATTCCCAGAGCAGTTAAATTCTTATTTTTTGTTGTTTTGTCTGAAGTAGTACTATTGTCTACTGGGAAGATCTCCAGATCAATTGTAGTATTTTCTGTTTAAGTCATGACATAAATGAGCACTGGGTGTTATTCTGTATGTTGGCAAATTGAACACCAATAAAAAATAAATTTATTATTAAAAAAAAGTCACAACATAACTATGTTGTCACCATGTTCAATTAGATGATCTTAAAAAAATACAGGTCAGAGAGGCCAAACATTTTTGCTCTGTGGTAGACTACAGGCTACAATAATCAGCACCCAATTTGTTGGCACTTTCCTATATTGTCATCCTAAAAAGTCCCTCCCACGCTTACTTTGGACTTAGCTGTGTATCTTTCTTTGGCCAATAAGACAATAATATGTGTAACACAAGAAGACTCAGAGAAGCCTTGTATGCTGGGACTCACCCTGTCTTGATGCTTTTGGAATCTCTACCGTAACTACCATGTGATGGAATGACCCGCTGGATGATTAGAGACATGTGATCCAGACACTTCTGTCACCCCTACCAAGGGCCAGCCAGCATTCTCAAGTACAGCTGTGCAGCTGAGCCCAGTGAGGGGACCTAGCTGAGATAAGCAGAGCAAGAACCACCCAGCTGAGACCCATTCCAGTCGTTGACCCTGAGAATCATGACCTAAATAAATAGTTGTGTTAAGCCATGAAGTTTTAGGGTATTTGTTATGCAAGAAATGCTAAGTGACACATGCCTCTTTATTATTTTATGGAATGGAAAAACAATAAACCTTAGAACAGTTGCTGCATGCATGCTGACACTTTTAACTACTCATTAGTTTTTCTTTATAAATAAAGACCACCATGGCTACACCATAAGAATGTTGCTGAGAGAATACTTTGTTTCTAAGAATTCCTCATGGACCAGGCCAACCACTCTGGAGCCCCCCCTGGAATCCTCCATGGCTGTACTAAACAGAACTGAAGGAGGGACACAGCCACACTGTCTTGATCCTTTCCCCTCAAAACCTGTGAGAAGAGCCACTTCTTGGTCAGGGTTTGCCAACCAGAAAGTCTCCTATGCGGTAGCCCAACTTCTAAACAACTGGTTCCACACATGTCACTGGGTATGCCCTTTCTGGCTCAGGCATAAATGCCCATATGCTCCATCTTACCACTGCAGTCAGAGGTGACTATAAACACAGTAATACACAGTAGGTACTATAATCATGAGTAAAGATTCCAGCTGCTGTATCATTTACGTTAACTCTTTCTGATGGGCTATTGCTACTGTTGCCAGCACAAAGAAACAAACTGGGTGGCAGGCTCACTTCCCTGGAAGCCTGCACTATCCATCAAAGCCCTAGACAGACCAGGTAGAAAGGCCAGTTGCACCAGCCACCCACCTCCTAGCATTTAATTTAAAAGACTATGTCGGGATCCCTGGGTGGCACAGCGGTTTAGCGCCTGCCTTTGGCCCAGGGCGTGATCCTGGAGACCCGGGATCAAATCCCACGTCAGGCTCCCGGTGCATGGAGCCTGCTTCTCCCTCTCCTATGTCTCTGCCTCTCTCTCTCTGTGTGTGTGACTATCATAAATTTAAAAAAAATTAAAAAAAATAAAAGACTATGTCTAAGTGGGTTCTGGTTGTTTGCAGGGTTCCCAAAGCCACATCTATTAGCTGAGGTCACTGCATGAAGACTGTTACAAGAAAATGGATTCAGTAACTGATTGCCAAAAATGTGGACTAAGACATACTATGTAAAGAACACTTGCATTTTAAAAAATGGCTGCATTTATTTGCAAGCTCAATCTGAACTCCACGCAAGTCTTAAAGAAAAAGGAATACAATTCCTTTTAGTGTAGTTCATTATGAAGTCACAGAAAGGATGGAGACCAAGGACTAAGAAGATGTGTTATTTACCTGTTCATCCTCAGTGACCCTGCTGGAATATAGTTATTTAAGGATATGGACTTTAAGTGTGTTGATATAAGGAGAGGGATGGAGGAATGAAGCCAAGACATATGACAAAGTAATGATGGTAACATTCATGAATTTCTTTTACATTTTTGATCTAGTAACTATCCCAAACTTTAAAATTCTGATGTATATTATATATTGGAGCTGATTTTCCAAATATTCCTAACAAAGCTGAAAATCCTCTGCTGACCAGTGTGTCCATTTGGAGGCTAGGGACATCTCTGCATAGTTCAGGGCTGACCCCTCCCTTTCCATCATTTCTGAACGATGGCAAACTTCACTTTTTTAAGTATTTCTTCACTTCTACTGCTGTCCTGATTCTCCCTCTCACCATCTCTTATGGCAGGTCCCAACAGTCTCTGTGCATCCAGTTTGGTCCTAGACCCACACTCCTCCCCTCTCCCCATCACCTCTCCATTCTGTCCCATTGTCCCACTCTACAGCCATAGCAGCTTCCAAAAAATGAAATCGGACCCCAGCTCTCCTTTCTAAAACCCCTCACCATGGTTTCCACACTCATGATCCCCATCCAGGTGCCTAGCAGTGTGGCCTATGAGGTGCAGCAAGCACACCCGAAGCTATAGATGGGTAGGCTGGACTCCCCAGTCTCAAGCTACTCCCCAACATAGGACTCTTTGATGTTATTTGTCCTTCCTTCTTATAGGCATCTGAGTTTGTGACCTCGCCTAAATTCCAGTCTCCCTTAGAAGGCTGATATGGTCCTAAGTTAAGGGACCTCACTTCCGCTTGGTCCTGTCTCCCTAATTTCACCATGATCCATAGGTTTTAGCATTGGTAATCAGTTACTGTTCCCTGCAGATCTAAGTTAGATGTCTTTTTGTTTTATCTGCTCATGATGTTCTCTTGGACCAGAGTTCTCTTGCCACCTCCCCATGAGCCTTCTTGCTCATAGTCTGGTTCTCCTCCTCAAGATGCAGTGCAGGGGTGCTGCCTCTGCAATGATTCCTGACCCCCCACATTATGCCGAGTCCCATCTCCTCCCCCTTTGGATGCTCTCAGAGCAGACTGGGTACTCTACCATCATAAATCCTGTGCTATGTGAAAATTGCACTCTTGCATATTTGCTTCCTGAAAGCATGCAGGTTAAGTTGCATTTATACTTTCCCATTTAGCAATACCCTCAGGCTTGGAAAAGAGTGGACACATGACAGAGGCTTGTGAATGAAAATCAATGTACTTCTCACAGCTTTCTCAAAACTTTGGCACTGTCAGAGCTGACACCATCTTCTTCCTCTTAACAAGTGTCACCAAAGGGTATGAAGGTCTGCTCCAGTGGCCTCTACAACTTGACTTCTTTGAACTCCCTGCCAGTTGGTTTTCATGGGCTCCATTCACAGGAATTGCTACAGAACATTTCTCATTTCTGAATTTCCTTTCTGATCAAAACCACCTCTTTCCAGTTGCTTTTGGTTTTCATTGCACCTCCAGGCCTGATGCTTCTGGTCTCCTTGGCTGCTGTGCTGTGTTATACTGTGTCCAACATGTATGTTTCAAAGCAGGTAATCCAAATGCCCTTACCTGCTCTCCAGTCTACCGAAGAAGTAACTCTTATAACTACTGACCTCATCTTCCCTTTAGGCTAGCATTCCTATTATTTTTTCCAGCAGGTTTAGCAATACCAAGGATCCCTTAATAGAAACTTTGGAATGCCAAATTAAGGAAACTGAATATGGCAGTGAAAACACTTCTCAAATTGTCCCCATGCACACCTTTCCAGCCTCATGTGGCCCCAGGACCATGTGCACCCCTATCACCTTGATCACTGTTGCCAATGACCCTTCTCTCCCAAATAGGCAGTGTTAGCTGGAATCCCCAACTGGCTTCTCATCCTGACAATTCTTTAGTCCACCAGTAGCCCCATTCTCATGGCCATCACCTTGGGATGGGCTGAAACCCCTACCTATTGCTTCAGGTTCTCTGCATTTTTGCACCCTAGTGCATTTTGCACCCTCACGAGTCCCCACCCAATCCCCAGGCCCCGTTCCCAAAGGCTGATGACAAACACATCCTCTGACCTCCAGCTCCTGGAATTCCTCCTCCTCCTCCACGTCATAGGAGAGGGTGTGGATTTTGATGTCATCAGCCGAGAGGTCGATGAACTTCCCATCAGGGTACTCCAGACTCTCTTTGGTGGGTGACCGGTCCTCAATGAAGGTGGTCTCACAACAGTCGGTAGCCACACCATCCCCCCAGGAGCGCAGCACACCCTCCGAGTAGAGGATGATGTTGGGCCGGAAATGGGACTCCACAGACTGCTGAAGTGTGTTGGGGTCCAGCAGCTGCTGGACCGGCTCATTCCTGCTGCCATCCAGGCTGGCTGGTGCTGCGCTGCCCACCACCCGGCAGCTCTGGTACTGTGGTGCTGAGTAAACAGACACCAGGCCATCTCTGCTCTCAGCCATGAAGTTTCTTGTGTTAATTAAGCCATTTCTCTTGCCAGCATCACTGATTTTACTGTGCACCAGCATGCTCTTCTGTTCAATTATGCCATCCATGATGCTCCTTCTCCCTGACTGCGCGTCAAGCTGGCGGCCACACTCCAGGGTCACACTTGCCTCATGGGACCCATTTTTCCTGGAGGAGGAGGAAACAGAGATGAGACAAGAAAATCACACCCGTAAAAAAGCAAAACACCCAGATCCTTGCTGTTTCAGTTTGTACTAGTCAACCGATATGCACAGAAGCTGGGGGAGCCAGATGATATTCTAATTCTATCTATTCTACCAATTTTTAAAAGGCTCTATCAGGGCAGCCAGTCAAAAAAACCCCATAAATTGATTACTCAAATCCCTGTAAAGTTTTTCTTCCAAATAAAGGAGACTGCAGAAATTTGAACCACTGCAGCTCTAGAGAAACCTGTGATCACCAGCAGACATCTTGAAAACCTCTGGTAAATCCAATCACATTAGCTTTGGGTCAGTCCACAGGCAAAATAAGACTGTAAATCTGTAATGGGGATCAACTCTTCCCATGCCCATGGCCATTCATTCAAACAGAAAACACACCCCCAAGAAGAAAGGGATTAAAATAACGTCCCACACAGATTTAGAAGATAAATGACAGGAAAACCCACACCACTAGTTCTATAGATAGATGAAATTCCCAAACAGAGGAAACACTCACATGTACATTGTAATGTATGTATGAGAATTAGCTCAATGCTCACATATGCCTCCTGGCATTCCAACACAGCCCCAGGTATTGAATTAGAAGTTCCCCTGCCTTAATGGTATACAGCTTAGAGAAACATCTACATATATAAGATACAATTAAGAGGCCCTCTAAATTGTTTCCCCCTAGATTATGTTATTTTCTAGGGTTTTGAATGTTCCAAAAAAAAAAAAAGGAGAAGGAAAAAGAAAAAGATACCAAAGATTTTGGAGATAATGCATTTACTTTCACAGCCAAGGAAATCACCAACAAACAAAAAGACAATCTACCACATAGGAGAAGACATTTGTAACTGATATATATAAGAGGTTCATGTCCAAAATATATGCAGAACTTACACAGCTCAACACCAAACAAAACAAAACACACAGGAATCTGATTTAAAAGTGGGCAGAGGACCCAAACAGACATTTTTTTCAAAGAAGACATACAGATGGTAAACAGACAAATGAAAGATGATCGACATCACTCATTATCACAGAAATGCAAATCAAAACAATGGTGACATATTACCTCATACCAGCCAAAACAGCTAGGATCAAAAAGACAAGTAATAATAAGTGTTAGTGAGGATGTGAAGAAAAAGGGACCCTTATGCACGGTTCATGGGCATGTACATTGGTGTAGCCACTGTGGAAAACAGTATGGAGGTTCCTCAAAAAAATTAAATATAAAAATGCCATATGATCCAGTAATTCCACTACTGGTTATTTACCCGAAGAAAATGAAAATGCTAATTCAAAAAGGTATATGCAGTCCGATGTCCACTGAAGTATTATTTACAATAGGCAAGATATGGAAGCAATCCAAGTATCCATCAATAGATGAGTGGATAAAGAAGAATGTGGTATGTGTGCACATGTGTGTGTATATATGTATATATGTGTGTGTGTGTGTATATATATATATATATATATATATAATGGAATATGACTCAGCCATAAAAAAGAATGAGATCTTGCCATTTATGACAACATGGATGGACCTGGGGATTAGGAGGTACAATTTTCCAGTTATAAAATACACAAGTCACAGGGAAGAAAAGTACAGTAATAACACTGTGTGGTGACAGATGGTGACTCCACTCATCATGGGGAGCACTGAGTAGTGCACAGATTTGTCAAATCACTATGAAACCAACAAGGTATGTCAACTATAATAAAATAAGAAATAAAAAATATTTAAATTTTTTTAAAATTTTTAAATAAAATAATTTAAAAGCACTTGAATAAGTTTCCTATAAGGAAAAAACCTAATGATGATTTAAGGACAACTTGTACATTTTCTCAAGATTTATAAATGTTTAGACTTTCCCTAACAACAAAAAGAATGAATTTCCTCAAGTGTTTCCTCTCTGTAAGTTAGTAGCTATTATGTAAAAACATTCCATCTTAGGGACTTTGAATACCCTGGCTTTCTATGAGATTTCAATTTTTTTTTCTGATATCATAACTGCTTTATTTGGTGATAGCTACAAGATTTTAAAATTTCAGACCAATCAAGACATAGAGAGGTAACGTTTACAACTAACTGGAAAATAACATTTTAGTAGAATTGACAAATGATTACACTACAGCATATGTTCGGAGAGATGGTGGGTGTTATTTATGTGATACTGTGTTAGATTTAAGAGAGGTCAAAAAACACACTGCCACCTCTGCTGATGTGGCACTAAGAAATACGTAGCTCCAGGGGCACATTTACAATCTGAGAGCTAAACCATTAATTAAACTATTTGGGTAAGATCTTTTGAGTTCCTGTAACATGCAAGGCACAACGTTGTGTCTGAACGTCATCTCTGGGACTGCTCATCTTCCAAGCTAGAGAATATGCTCACTGAAGTGTTTCTGGTCCAAACCCTCAACTTCTCTAATCTCCTTCCACAGAGAAGCCACGGGGTTGATCTCAGAATTGGGACCCTCATATGGTTTGTGATTGCCATATGTACTACCAAACCTAACATAATCTTCTTGACACATAGTTTGGTTTCTCAGATTGAGCTCCTTCTCTTCAAATCTGTTTTAAGTATCTTACAAAAGACATGTGATTGCATCTGTTGAAACTCCATCTCTTCAATGGAGTAGCAGGCTCTTGCCCAGCCAGAAGGACTTCCCCCTTTTCTGGTGTGTCTCAGCTGCTGTGTTACAGTTTCTGTTATGGCTCCTATTGCGTCCTTCTCTGCAAACATGACAGCTGTTAATGTCAACATCCTCCTCCAGCCCTTGCCCCTGTTCCTGTCCTGGTGCTCCTTGAGACTAAAGGACCAGTATTATCTCTTCCCTTTCTAGCACCTGGTATGCAGCAAGTACACAATGAACTGTTGAAATAAAGTTTCAAGTGTTATGTAATTAGAATAATCCCTACTTAGTGATCTCCTTGAGCTGTACAAGCCCCAAGTGAGAATCTGATATTATAGCATCTTGAGGCAGGCACAGCTTAGGTCTCTGAGGGGCTGTCCACAAATTTGACACCTAAAGTAGCTGAGTACTGGCAGCATCAGCACCACCTGGAAGTTTGTTAGAAAGGTGGAACCTTCAATACACTTGGAATAACTGAATCAGAATCTGCATTTTAACACCATAGCAAGTGATTATTCTGAACATAAAGTTGAGGCTCTTTGTTCTATAGAATATTGTGAAAGTTTTGTTCTGTTGTACAAGTTAGCTCAATTGTATGATGGATTATTTGATATCTTTTTAAAAAGTCTTTAAATATATTTAAATAACTTAGTTTTCTTCATGGAGTGAATTAACCAACTTTGAGCATCATAAATTATGATTACATTTGAATGAAAGAAGCTGAAATCAGACAACAAAAAGAAATAAAAGGCATTCAAATTGGAAAAAAAGAAGTCAAACTCTCCCTCTTCACATATGACATGGTACTGTACATAGAAAAACCAAAAGACTCCCTCCAAGATTGCTAGAACTCCTATAGTAGTAATTCGGCAGTGTGGCAGGATACAAAACCAATGCCCAGAAATCAGTGGCATTTCTATACACTAACAATGAGACTGAAGAAAGAAAAATTAAGGAGTCAATCCCATTTACAATTGCACCCAAAAGCATAAGATACCTAGGAATAAACCTAACCAAAGAGGTAAAGGATCTATACCTGAAAAACTACAAAACACTTCTGAAAGAATTTGAGGAAGACACAAAGAGATGGAAAAATATTCCAATGTCATGGATTGGCAGAATTAATATTGTGAAAATGTCTATGCTACCCAGAGCAATTTACACGTTCAATGCAATCCCTATCAAAATATCATGGACATTCTTCAGAGAGATGGAACAAATCATCTTAAGATTTGTGTAGAATCAGAAAAGACCCCGAATAGCCAGGGGAATATTGAAAAAGAAAACCAGAGCTGGAGAAATCACAATGCCAGATTTCAAGCTGTATTACAAAGCTGTGATCATCAAGACAGTGTGGTCCTGGCACAAAAGCAGACAAATAGATCAATGGAACAGAATAGAGAACCCAGAAATGGGCTCTCAACTCTATATGGTCAACTAATATTCAACAAGGCAGGAAAGACTATCCACTGGAAAAAAGACAGTCTCTTTAATAAATGGTGCTGGGCAAATTGGACATCCACGTGCAGAAGAGTGAAACTAGACCACTCTCTTTCACCATACACAAAGATAAACTCAAAAATGGTGAAAGATCTAAATGTGAGACAAGATTCCATCAAAATCCTAGAGGAGAACACAGGCAACACCCTTTTTGAAGTTGGCCATATCTTCTTGCAAGATACATCTATGAAGGCAAGGGAAACAAAAGCAAACTGAACTATTGAGACTTACTCAAGATAAAACGCTTCTGCACAGCAAAAGAAACAGTCAACAAAACTAAAAGGCAACCTACAGAATGGGAGAAGATATTTGCAAATGACCTATCAGATAAAGGGCTAGTATCCAAGACCTATAAAGAACTTATTCAACGCAACACCCAAGAAAAACAGTCCAATCATGAAATGGGCAAAAGACATGAACAGACATTTCTCCAAAGAAGACATACACAGAGCCAACAAGCACATGAGAAAATGCTTGCACCACTTGCCATCAGGGAAATACAAACTAAAACCACAATGAGAGGGTTACTGGGTGGTGGACACTGAGGGGGACACTTGGCAGGATGAGCACTGGGTGTTATGCTATATGTTGGCAATTTGAACTCCAATAAAAAAATTTTTTTAAATAAAAAAGCAAAAAAAAAAAAAAACAAACCACAATGAGATACCACCTCACACCAGTGAGAATGGTGAAAATTAACAAGACAGGAAATAACAAATGTTGGAAAGGATGTGGAGAAGGGGGAACTCTCTTGCACTGTTGGTGGAAATGTGGAGTGGTACACCTACTCTGGAAAACTATGTGGAGTTCCTCAAAGAGTTAAAA